ACCAATCATAACCTGGGTAGTTTGTGTTAGTTGGCAGTTTTAAGAAGGCATTACCAAATTTACCGATAATAACCCGGTAAGTTTTGGTAACTTTGCAATTTTAATTAAACATTTCCAAACTTACCGATAATAACCTGATTAGTTTGGGTTATTTTGCAATTTAGAGTCTGAGATTACCAACAACAATAACAATAATCTGATTAGTTCGGATAAGTTTGCAATTTTTATCAGTCCTGTATGCATGTTCAATTTTCGAGAATACAAATTTCGATTTTTTGCCGAATGCTGTTATTTCGAAAATAAACCTTTTCGAAAACGCTTATTTCGAATTTATTTCTTTCAAAATTCAATAATTTTGAAAATATATTTTTCGAAAATTAATAATTCGAAAATCAATAATTTGGAAAACATAATGGTAATGTTTGATTAAAATCGCAAACTATGCCAAACTAACCGGGTTATTATCGTTGATAGTTTATTAATGTTAAAACTGCAAACTCACCGGGTTATTATCGGTAAGTTTGGTGATCTCTGATTAAAATTGCGAGCTAACCCAAACTAACCCTTACTATTAACTGAATTTACAGAAAAAGTGTAAATTTACAGAAAAAGTGTAAATTTACAGAAAAAGTGTAAATTTACAGAAAAAGTGTAAATTTACAGAAAAAGTGTAAATTTACAGAAAAACTGTAAATTTACAGAAAAACTGTAAATTTTTATAAAAATATTTTTTAATATTAGCATGGCAGCTCTACGCTTTCGTACATTCCTATGTGCCCGTGCGATAAACATTTTCAATGTTACTTACAAACATACAAACATACAGGTGAAGCTAATATAAGCGTGTTCATAAACAGTTTTCCCCTTATAAAGGCTTGTTCCACCAACCTACCGCGTTTGAATTTGTCATGGAATTTACCGCTCGATAAAAGTAACTTTATACTTTAATTGCTCAAGCTACAATTATCATTTTCCGGAGAATTCTTATCCTGCCTTGCACACCAACGCGATAGTTTCCGCCATACTGGAAACACGTGGTATTTTCCAAACAATACAAAAACATCATCAAACTACTATGCGAACTGCGGGAAAACGCTGCACCTTGCGAACCGAAATTCATTCGCAGACATCCCGCAAATCGCATGCGTTTCCTTCGTACCGGTATGCACTCCTTCATTTCCTGCTGTTGATTTACGTCCCGCAGAAGTTTCGTTCTCGTTCCAGTTCCCGCAGTCCCGCCTCGGTCTGCGCCTACCTTTATTCTTGCATTCGCAGATCACTGTGATCAAAGTGAACCTAATAAATTAATGTCCAGTGGTTTTTGACAAAGATTTTTTAGATTAGATTTTTGGTTTCACCCTTTCGAGCCCATACTCTACACTGCAGCCTTTATAGGCTTTTTGTATGTCATTCGTATGGGCTCTACTCCTTCTCATTCATACTTCTCATTCATACTTGGAGATCAGATGATTGGCGGCAGCGCGGACGACCCACCGTCCCGAACTACTGCGGTCACCCATCCAATCTCCAACCCGACACCACGTTGCTTGGCTTGAGTAGGCCGTCTCTCACGTCCTTGATCAAGAACCAACGTGCCGGTTGGTTTTTGACAAAAATATGAATACTACTTCTTAGAGAATTTGTTATTTTCGTATGATGATATTATGAAATTAAATTAGGTAAGGTATGTACATTGATGGTGGCGATTGTGCACGCTTTTTTGTTTTTATCAATTTAACTTTCAAAAAAGTAGCTTAAATAGTAGCTTTCAAACATTCGAAATGTAGTTAAGCTACTAATAGCTTAGCTACTTTTTCAAAGAGGTAGTTGAGCTACTGAGTAACTTAGCTACTTACAATATAAAGTAGCTTGTAGCTTGTAGCTTAGAGATTGAAGTTTACCGGTAATTTTCATTTGATCTTTCTCAGTGGTAATTTACCGGTAATTTTCCGGTTATTTTGATAATTTTGGTAATTTTGGAAATATTTCATGAAACAAACAATTATGACTATATACTATACTATACGTTCAAGGATTATATATTTTCAGAATTTTTTACCTAAACAACAATTTATCACACAGAATTTGCAAAAGCCCTGGTTTTTGAAAATTTTTATTGGTTTTTTTTGGGTTTTTGCAAGAGTTATGCTTTTGTAGGGTTTTTGTGTTGTAAGATCTTTGACTCTTTGACATTCCAAATTATCTCATACTCAGAACTCATAAACCCACTGGGTTTTTGAAATAGGTTTTTCCTACGAGAAGAATGTTTTAATTCAAAATATAGGTACTACATATTTTTCACTTCAAATCAAATTACTATCTATAGGTCCTATTTTCCATTAAGAAAACCTAGATCTTACACAGATTTTTTGATCAATTTTTGATAAATGAGATGGACAAAAATACTTGTGGAAAAATATTACACCTAACTTCTGCGGAAAATGTCTTTTTCCTACAGCCGTGCGGAAAAATCGATTTTCCGCACTGATATGCGTGCGGAAAATGAGTTTTCCCGCACGGTGCGGTAAAACTTTTTTTTTTGACATATCAGTGCGGAAAAAGTTTTTCCGCACGGCTGTCAGTGCGGAAAAAATTTTACCGCACTGATATGTCAAAAAAAAAAGAAAAATTTTACATTTTTTCGCCTGTAGGAAAAATATTGTACCTAACACTTGCGGAAAATGAATTTTTCCGCACGCGGCTGCCGTTCACCGAACGACGCGTAGCGGAGTTCGGTGATGCTTGTTAGGTAAATAGCTATTTCCTACGAGCGTGCGCAAAGTAGTACTTTTCCGCACGCATTTCCGGGCTCAAAGTTACACTTTTCCGCACTCAGTGCGGATACAGGCCTTATCCGCACTGAGTGCCGAAAAGTAATTATAATTGTCAAGCAACAATAAGTGCACCTGTCGACTTTGACACATGATGAAAAATTTTTCCTCTGTTTCTATATCAACCAACATCTATACAAACACCAAATATAAATTAACTTTGACACATTGTCAGATTTGTTCTCTATTTATATGCAAAAATCTACAAACTTTCTCATCAAATTTAAACGCTTTAAGATGAACAGCTCTGACGAGGATTTTCTGTTATTTTTTTTTGTTATGTAATTTTTTGATAAATGCATAGGTTCCCTTCAAGCTAATTAAAAATAATTAAACAAATTATCGTTTTTTTTTAAATTTTAGTTATTACCTACCTGATATGAAGCTCGTAGAAAAAATTTTGTTCCTAACACGTGCGCAAAGTGTCCTTTCCGCACGCAAACACGTATCCGAACTCCGCTTCGCGTCGTTCGTATAACTGTGTTTGCGTGCGGAAAAGTAACACTTTGCGCACTTGTTAGGAAAATAACTAATTCCACCCTTGACAGCTTTCCAACTGCCGTCGCGTGCGGAAACGCACCACTTTCCGCACTTGTTAGATAAATAACTATTTGTGTATGCCAACTCTGAAAGCGCGTTACAGATTCACAACAAGATGGCGAATAATGCATGGAGAGGATTGTCGAATGTAATACCACAAGAGCTTTCAGGATTACCGGATAATACTTTTACCTGTCACGAAACGCGTTACGCAGCAACACCACGACTCCGAAGGAGGAGTGGTGTTGCTGGTAACGCGTTGAGTATCAGGTAAAAGTATTAGGTAATCCTGAAACATCGAGTGGCATTCAAAAGGTTATACAACGAACTAAACTTCAATACCTTATTGACTTTTATTGGCAAATCAACAATATTGCCACCAAGCGCGATAATCCCAAGAGGCTTATCACTTACTAAGCCTCTCGTGTCATAAGGGAATAATGTACAGTAAGTTGTATAATCGCCTGAATGTGATTTCATTAAAGAAGCATTTTTGAAAATTACCGGTAAAGAAATTTGTCGGGTTAAATTACCAAAATTACCTTACCAAAATTACCGTTACCGCGGTAACGTTACCACACTTCAATCTCTATTCTAGCTAGCTACTTTTTCCAAGTAGCTTGCCCAGCTCTGGTGGAGGAGTAAGCTATTGAAAAAATAATAATTACCTAAGCTATGATCCTAACTGCCCTTCAAGTCAGAATTTTGGTAATCTACTTGAGCATGTTTGGTATTAGACTTTAAGCATTTGACTGTAGATGTTTCCAACAATTTCCTCTCAACAATAATTGAAATCGCGTTTTACTGATATCCAGGACAACAAATCATGGCTTGATTATTTCTTGTTGGTAATTGGTGTCCCCTGGGGAGGCCGTCCACCATAATAGGCTAGGATCCCATTTGTTGCACGATTATACTATTTAAGGTAAGTATAGCAGTGGGGCACTACCGAATACCGGCGAGAAATGGTTGAATAATTATGATTTGCTGTTGGGTGTCAGCTGCACAACGTGGTTTCAAGTGAATTCAGCCTAATGGGGCTTTATTAAAATAGCTGAATGCTCTTCAACTTTGCCAGGCAAAATTGTTTGTGTGTTTTCCATGTGAAGAGTCGAGTGATCATGCTTTATATTGTAGCTGAAATGAAATGGTCATGTCTCTAAAGAGGAATAAGGTGCATTAATTTCGAAACACCCTGTATCATAAAAGTTTCAAATACTATAATTGAGTCACCTTGGAGTCCTGAGACTTGAGAATTGAAAAATGCATTTTAATTTGGAATGAAAAGATAACTTTATGAATTTTTATAATAAAAATAACATGCCTCCTCACTAAACAATCCCAATTTGTAGCTTTTTGCAGAAATTCTTTTATGTTATTTTATATTTTTTGGTTTTATTTCTGATATATTTTTACTTTTTAAAAATGCAATTTATGCTTTCTAAAGTTTCTAATATCCATGTTGTTTTTTTTTAATAATTGTGGCTTTTATCATAAAATATTGACTCCACAATGAAGAAATTTCTTTGATTGTCTTAAAAAATATGCCAATATAAGGTTTTCTTCTGTGGAATTTTACTCCTCAAATCATTATCGGGAGAAATATATTGATTTAAAATTTTTCTTCAGAAATATTACTTAGTTGGCTCCAACAACAGCCAGACCCGTTTCCGCGTACTGAAAATCGACCGCACCGAACCCAAAGATTTAGAAATTCACGATGACAAAGTGGAATATTCAGCGGAAGAAATTCGAGATTTGGTCAACATGATCGAATCGGGCAATCGGAAAACCTCTGCAACCATCAGTGGAATCTCCAGATACATTTCGGCTTTTGGAATTGTAGGTTTTATTCAGTTTTTGGAAGGCTACTACGTCATATTGATAACGAAAAGACGTAAAGTGGCCGTTATTGGACATCATACTTTGTATAAAATTGAAGATACTACAATGATTTATATTCCTCATGACTCAATTCGAGCAGTGCACCCGGACGAGTCTAGATATGTTAAAATGTTTCAGAGTATCGATTTGGCCAGCAATTTTTATTTTAGGTTGGTTTTAGCAACAATTTCACAAACATCAACTAATTGTATTGTTTTTATGTAGCTATAGCTATGATTTAACACACAGCCTGCAACATAATTTGTCCGAGCCGAAAAATTTCGTTGCAAGAAACATGGATTTACCCTACGAACACAACGATGAGTTTCAGGATAAATTATTATGTACAAATGGTACTAAAGAGATTCAGTATTTTGGTATTAGGACGCATCCGCTTAAAAAATTCGTTTGGAATTTGCATTTAATTAGTGAAGGTGAGAAAATATATCTGTTTCTTCGTTTATAATTTATTTAAGTTCGTTTTTGTAGCATTGAAAGTTGATTTACACCCAAATTGGATCCTCTATATCACTCACGGTTTTATAAGCCAAAGTAACATAAACGTTTTTGGAAGGCCCTTGTATTTGACTTTGATTGCTCGAAGGTGGGGAATTTTTTCAATTGAAACTTCGACAAATCAAAATTAATTAATTTTAGGTCGAGTAAATATGCAGGAACTAGATTTTTGAAACGGGGAGCCAATTTTCAAGGGGATGTGGCTAATGAAGTGGAAACTGAGCAAATCGTTCACGATTCTGGAGTGTCTTCATTTACTAAAAGTCACTTCACATCGTTTGTGCAGATGAGAGGCTCGATTCCAGGTAAAAATAAATAATGTTCTAAAAACTAGTAGGTAACTCTTATTTTATTTAAAAGATGTTTTATTTATTTAGGCGTTTTGTTAATAATTTTCTCTTATTTTAGGTCATTGGAAGCAAGAAATGGGCAAAATGGTAGCAAAACCAGCAATAACCATAGATTTCTACGATCCATTTGCAGAAACGGCAGGAGCGCACTTTAACGAACTCCTCAAACGTTACGGCGCCCCGATAGTGATATTGAATTTGGTGAAAAAACGAGAACGAAAGCCACAAGAATCGCTGCTGAGCGAACAACTGACTTCGGCCGTTAAATATCTAAATCAATTTTTACCAGTCGAACATCAAATTGTCTACAAACGATTCGATATGGCCAGGAAGAACAAGAGCAACTCGAACGTCATGGAACAATTGGCCGGAATTGCGAAAATCGTCGTCGGAAAAGTCGGAATTTTTCACAATCAAAAGAAATATTTCAGTCAGAAGTTGAATACTGTAATTGGTGAGGAGGCAAACGGGAATTGTTAGGACTAATTGTGTTGATTGTTTGGATAGAACCAACACCGCTCAGTTTGCAATAGGTAACTACATACAAATGTCTTTTCTTTTTAGGCATATTGCTTTGGTTTGGAATGAAAATGAAAATTATATAGAGAAAGCTGTAGATTAGTTTTTTCTTTCATATCTAGAATACATTGTAGTAATCCATCCAAGTACTCTATTAATTAGTTAGATGGTAAATGGCGAGCGGTTCTACTTGATGTTAATTATTTCCTCCGGTTGCTACAAAATTAAGTAGTGAAGGGGTCTATTTGCAAATGAGAGAAACAACTATATAATAGTTTTCATACATATTTTATTAACCAAATCAGCACTATTAATTAGGAGAATTCAGCCTAAGAATTCAACACAACTTGCTGGATGTTATCTCTTTTCTGATTGTAATCTGCTTAAATAGTACTCAATTCCCACCAAAATTCTGTTACGTGGGCGGTCATTTAGCATTTCTCGTACCAATCATCTTATTTGACCTCGTTTATCGAGTGATAAACGACATTGTTGTTTTCCAAGAATTGTTTTTTACTTAGGAAATGATGCAACATCCGGCGGAAACACCGGTGTTGTAGTTTATCAATTATGCCGCAATTAAATCACATGAGTGATTTCCGGTTAAACGTGACCTAATTTTATAATCTTTTTGTTCTTGTTTATCCGAATGTCACAAGAGTCTATTAATTGGTGATATCGAACTCTGACATCCGGTCGCTTATCGCTTGCGTTGGAAAAAAAAATTGTTATGTAATTTGATTTGAGCTTAGAAATTTCGTCATTTTTTATTTATACTATTTTTATAAATGGAATTAGTTGCTGGATTGCTAGGAGATTTAATAAGTTGAGATTAAATTATCTTGCAACTGACGTAGGTACTTTTCTAATTAAAATGACTACAAAAATGCTTTTACCAATTGAGTTAGTTATATTTTCTGGGATTTTAGCACCTCGAAATTTTTAGGGTCGCCACATCCCTCCCTCCATAAGAAAACATTTATATTGCACAAGATAAATTTTTATTGACAACACGGTTCTCGTGCCCATATAAAAGTATTAAGTTTCACCCGAAATCGGTCAACGACGTTAGAGAAAAAAAATACTACACTTTATTTTTTCCCAAGATAGATTTTGACATTGTCAACTTTGAAACATAAACAATGCCGCTAATGTCGCTTATTGGCCGCTATTCTAAAACTGATGTCAACCTGCAGAAACACCTTATTTTGCGACCAATCAGGGTCAAGCGTTATTGTTTATGTTTCAAAGTTTTCAATGTCAAAATCTACCTTGGGAAAAAATAAAGTGTAGGTTTTGTGCTTGCTGAGCGTACTTGCCAAAAATTAATACAACAACAAAAAAAAAAAGGTATTACATCTGGGTTTCCTTACTTGTGAGGCGTGCTTCTTTATTAGTAGGCTGTGGCTGGGTAGGATAGCGCCAACCTTGGCGAGGGCATCTTTTAATCCGAATCCTGGCTGGTGCGTCGTATTTTCAACCGTTGTGGATCGTCCGAGGCTTGGTAGGGCGTCGCTGGTCGCATGCGACGTCTATTAAGGGGAGCCAGTTCAGGAGGCGGCACAAAAGGTTGACCTCCCAGGTTCCATGGGGACTTTACTTCTGGTGGGGCTAGTGGGCTGCTGGACCGTATCAGCGGGGTACTCTGGGGTACCGCGTTAGGGGCAGTGGCGACGCCAGGGTTTTATGTTAGGGGAGGCCAGACTGGGCCAGAAAAAATTAGGGGGGGCCAGACTGGGGCAGAAAAATTTAGGGGGGGACACTTGATTTTACTTTATTGCTTTGCTTTGGTACCCTATTTTAATCAATTTATATCAAAAACGCTATGCATGGTAATATTGAGGTAATAAAAAACAGAGAAGTAGGTATAGGTGATAAAGATCAACTTTAATAACCTCAATTATCTAGGTATATTGAAACATACAAAAAAAAACAGCAAGACATATCCAAGTAAAAATAGTTATTTTCCTAACAAGTGCGCAAAGTGTTAATTTTCCGCAAGCAAACCCAGTTTGTATAGATGATATAGAAACAGAGGAAACATTTTTCATCATTTGTCAAAGTCGACAAGGTGCACTTATTGTTGCTTGATAATGAGTTTTACTTTTTTGCACTCAATGCGGATGAAGACCTTATGCGCACAGAGTGCGAAAAAGTGTAACTTTAAGCACGGAAATGCGTGCGGAAAACGGAAAACTACTACTTACCGAAACCTAAAACCTGAAGCAGTAAAATTCTTCGGTTATTATGATTTTTAGCAAAAGTATCAACAATATTATCGAGATTCATATTATACAGTGTGTCCCACTTTTCATGAATACATCCTTATATCTCAGTTAGTAATGATGCGATTTTATTCAAATTTTGGTGGTGATTGTATGTTAGAAAAATGAACTATTTGACATAGTAAACATTTTTATTTACCATTGGCGTGCGGTGTTGGGGGGTAAAAAGGGGTTGTATTTTTGGGAAAAAGATATTAGGGCATATTTTAGATAATTTTTCGTATCAGATTAAAAATCAGCGTCCCCAAAAACCCCTTAATTCATATTTTAAAAATCTTGCAAGATGATTTTAGCAAAAAAATTAATAAATTTATTTTAATTTACATGCTCTAATAAGCTGTTTGGCAAATACATATGAAGTAAGGGGTTTTTGGGGAAGCTGAATTTTAATCTGATGCAAAAAATTATCTAGAATACGCCCTAATATCTTTTTCCCAAAAATACAACCCTTTTTCACACCCCAACACGCACGCCAATGGTAAATAAAAATGTTTACTGTGTCAAATAGTTAATTTTTCTAAGATGCACTCACCACCAAAATTTGAATAAAATCGCATTATTAATAACTGAGATATCGGGGTGTATTTATGAAAAGTGGGACACACTGTATATATTTGTATGGTATATCATATAACATTTTGTCATATTTTCGATGTAGACTTTTGTCATGCGACTTTTGGCACAAACGCAAGTTTTAAGGGGGGGCCGGCTAAATTTCAAGGGGGGCCCCGGCCCCCCCTGGCGTCGCCACTGGTTAGGGGGTGCCGATGAAAACGCCCCTGCCATCGTCTCTTCCATTACCTGGCTGGTTGAGGGTCTCGGTTCGGCATGAACGACTGGGCGAAGTTCTGCATATACCAGCAGAGGCGGGCTCTCACTTGTATAGCCAGTGAACCTCAGGTAGCAGTACTCATGATTTTGCTTGCGCGAATTCCTTGGAGATTTCGCTCCTCCAATTCAATCATCTCGGCCCACAACTGGAGTATCGCCCGGGTTCCATAATTATGGGAAGACAGATAATCTTGGGTCCCCTGGTTTAATTGAACTTTTCGCACTACCTCTCTTGCCATATTCAGCAGAGAGGCTCGTTCCTCTAGCTCTGGTATCAGAGCTAGGTATTTAAAGAAAATTGGCATTCCTTGCTTCATTTCGTTTAAGTATGGTCACTGTCACTTGTTTTTCACGCACTTCTTACGAAGATTTCTCTCGGACTGTCGCTTCATCAGGGGTAACAGGCTCTTTTTATTTTCCTGGTGCTATCTGTAGTCAGTAAATTTCTTGTCATTACTTCTAACCCTTGGCACTAAGTTAGTAATAATTCATTAGGCTCTTCCTTCTATCTGTGTCTGTACAATCAAATTTATTAGACCTTTTTCTATCTGATACTCATAATTTTTGTTTTTTATGTCCTCTCGTCTATTGGTTGGTCGCAGAGTTATCCCAATAAAATATTTTGATTTAATTTTCCTCTATAATTATGTCGTCAAACTGATACTATAGTCAGTGCTTAGTATAGCCTCTCCTTCCATTCAGTTTTATAATTTCAAATTTATATCCTCTGATCCTAATTTAATGCTAGTCTACCAATATTCTTCAATAACCCCTGTTTCCTATTAGATTATTCGTTCAAATTATGTGTAAGCTTTTCCTGCCCTAACTTCTCATTTCTTAAACTATCTATTATATTTTTTAATTTTACAAAACAAAAAAAATGTAAAACCTACGAAATTAAACTTTTTCCGTGTGATTTTGCAAGTTCATTCACAATAATAACTATTAAAGATTAATTATAACCCTTCACTCAACACTAGATTTTTTTTTATATATTATTTTCTTAATTACGGCCTTTAAATTTATGTATCCTTAGATTCTACTCTATTTTTCGTATTTCTTATTCTCGAATTTTATAGCTAACATCATTCCTTATGCATTCTAGATTTTTCTCAATTCCTAATTAGATATACATAGACTAGACACATTCTGATAACCTTCGGGACCTTAGATTTCTAATCTTTTCGCCCATATAAATTCCAGCCAACTGGGGGTAGCTTTGCTAATTTTTTTCTTAAGTAGACAAATGCACGTGGGGAAGTCCGTGAGTTAATTAAGGGTGGTGGAATTTCACCTTCGGCGGGGGTACCTCTGTCTTTTCCACTTCTCCAAAATTTCTTTGACTCCCTTTTGGTCAATACTCCTTATCTACAAGGTTTCTTCCTTCTTCTTGGCTTGCTCAATCTCCGCTTCCTATGCTCTTGCGATTACAGATCTACTCTTCAGAGTCGATTCTTTCTCTATTATATTCAATAACCTCACTGGGACTACACTGTCCTTCTTACACAAAACACGTGCCACTAGCAATCCTGACAAAACTTCCTCACATTGTTCGATAACTATGTGCTGAGCCTTAACCCTTGAACTTCTGCGTAGAGTTGCTTGCTTGACACACTACTTGACTCATCGGCGGTATTATATCCTCCTCTCTCAGAGTCACCAGAAAACCACCTTGGTTTCTCAATTCCATTACTGGACCTTCATTAGAATTCCTTTCTAATAGACCCTTCAAATTCCTTTGGAATTTCCCTGGAAGTTCACTGTCCTTCCTCTCCAAAACTGGTGCTACTGGCACGCCTGTCAAAATTTCATCACATTGTTTAATGTGTTGAGCCTTAGCCTTTGAAGTTCCGCGTAGGGTTCCATGGCACACTTCATCAATCATCGGCGGTATAATAACCTTTTCTCCCAGAGACGCCAGAAAACTTTCATCCAACAAAATCTCGTCCTTCACTGGACCTTCATTAGAGTTTTTCTCTAATGGAAAACCTTCCTCGTCCTTCACTGGACCTCTAATAACTTCATCCTGTCGAAGTGGAATGGATCTATGGATTTCTCTGGAACCGGCCGGTTTCCTAATTGATGATGTCAGACTTCTGCCTTTCGAGTTGCCAAGTTGTTGGTTGATTGTAGTTATCGAGCGGATACCAACCGCTACCAAACTACGATTCTCCGTTATTGGTACTAACGTCAGATCCTTCATCATAAAATCTGTCCTACTCTTCATTGTGTTATCTTTTTTCAATTTCTGTTTCAACTTTTAGATAATTTTTTACTTCAACGCCATTTCCATTCCTCTCCAAATTTCCATTCCTCTCCAAAATTGATGTATCCGTCGAACATCACAGGTATATTTGCCATACCTCTTACAGGAATTTTATTGTCCTGTATATCCACCAAATTTGCATCACATTGTTCCTTTTTGAATCCCTCGGCAATCTCGGGCTTTACTAGGGATACTACAGCTCCAAAATCTATTAAGGCTAGGTACGACTTATCATTAACCCTAATCCTTACTACATTACAACTTTCTGGGGTTCTCACCTTGGAGCATGTATACCTATATCCCTACCCAACTCTCTTTATTTCATCCCAACTTGCCTCGTTGGCAGCCACGTCTCTAGGTTGATAGGGGCTGCGTTCGAGTTTAAATAATTCTGCCTATTTCCCGATTACTGGGTAAAAGTGCTGACTTCCGTGCGGCAATTTTTAGCAAAATGCCCTTCCTTGTGGCATCTGAAACAAACAAGCGTACCTCTGTTACCTTGTCTGTTCACGTCCCTTAGTTTCGAACAATTTGGTCTTACGTGACCTTCCTGGTTGCAATTGTAGCACACCATTTTTCTAGCTTGCGGCATTTTTTGGTTCCAGCGGTTCTGACGGCTTGGGCCTGCTGTCTTCTTTTTATTCATAATTTCGCGGCATTCTCGACTGTGTGGCTTCAGAAAATTTTCGATGGATTCTTCCCTCTCAGCTATTTCTAATGCTTCATCCAAAGTTGCTGGATTTCCTGAGAGTACACGTTGTTTAATCGGCATTAACAATCCTAGGGTAAATCGGGTGGTAATGTCTCCGAGCAATTTATCTTCCAACAATTTATCTGTTGCTGGATTTTCGGTGAATGTAGCGGTCCGGTGCCCCAATACCTTCAATCTAGTAAGGCACTGTCTACAAGCTTCACCTGTTCGTTGCTTGTATTCAATAAAATGTTTCATAGCGATCCCCTTCACATAATGCCTGCCAAACTGAGTTTTTAAACTGTCCTTTAGCAGAGTCCAACTGGTGGTATTTTTTAGGGTTGGCTCTGCTTCTATGTACTGCTTAGCTCGATATATCAGTGCTACTAAAATTTTCTGTGTGTCTGTCCAGTCAGCTAAAATACTGGTTTTTTCTAGAACATTCAAAAATTCTTCGGCACTCGTAGTTCCATCATAGGTCGGTATGGAATCCAATCCTATAAACAGGTTAGGAATGGTGGTGCTGAATTGTGGTTCTGGGCTCGGAGGTTTGGACATCTTTAATTTCGCTTGGTTGTTCTCAACCTAAATTTAACTAATAAAATTACATTTTGTCCCTACCGATTTTCTCACAATACAATTAAAATAACCTCACAGTTGTTCTCAATGTACAAATAATAGACCCCACACCTGACACCAATGTAGTAATCCACCCAAGTACTCTATTAATTAGTATGATGGTAAATGGCCAGCGATTCTATTTGATGTTAATTATTTCCTCGGGTTGCTACAAAATTAAGTGGTGAAGGGGGTCTATTTGCAAATGAGAGAAACAACTGTATAATAGTTTTCATACATATTTTATTAACTAAATCAGCACTATCAATTAGGAGAATTCAGCCTAAGAATTCAGCACAACCTAGGCACACGACAAATGCAGAAAAAATTTTATATTAACAAATTCTTACTTTAATGTTCATACTTTGAAACAATCCAGTTATACACCTTCTTAATCAAAGCTTAGTTGATTATACGCTATTAAATTTTATACACACACAACATAATTCAAATCTTTTCTAGGAAAATGTGCTCTAGGCTACCAACTATGCGCCCTAGGAGTTCTAGACGCTCCAAACTTAGAATTCGACACCGATTGCGTGCGAATGCTCGAATCCCTCTACGAAGATCACGGCGACACGTTGGCCCTACAATACGGAGGCTCCCAATTGGTTCACCGAATAAAAACTTATAGGAAAACCGCTCCGTGGACGTCACAAGGCAACGACATCATGCAAACGTTGAGCCGTTATTACAGCAACACGTTTTCCGACGCCGAAAAGCAAAACGCCATCAATCTGTTTTTGGGCCTGTTTAAACCCGTGGAAAATCGGCCTCAGATTTGGGATTACGTGACCGATTATTATTTCCATCACAAACCGAATATTTCAGGGAAGAAGTCGTTGACTCAATGGTGGAATTTAGGTGTGTTTAGGTGTTTGCCCTATGCGTACAATGACGTCACCAAGGCATGCTTCGAACTGATCCAAATGCATTCCAATGATGTGGAAATGATCGATTCCTATGTGGATTATTATAGGTAATAATATTTTTAATCAAATCCTAGTGAAAATTGTTTTCGTTTCAGGCCGAATGAATTCAATATGCTCGCAGATGTCTATGCTTTAAAAGTAAGCAGCTCTGTGGATTTTATGCCCATTTGCACAGTCAACTATAGTCCGTTTGCTGTAAGAATGAGACCAGATAAGAGACGAGAGCAGGTTTTACTCAAAGGCAACGCGACCAGTAAAAATCCTTCAGTTACTGGACAGAGTTCGACTAGTTCAGTTGCATCGAGCACAAGGTGAGCTTAGAAAATATCTCTGTTATTTTATAGCCAATTTTTGTGTTAATTGTTTTGAACCTCATGCTCAAAGAATATAGGATATTTGCAAGGATATTTGATATGTATGTATATTCATTTTAAAACTTACCACCCTTATTATCTCGGAGTTGAAAATTGTCGAAAAAATCCCTGAAACACGTCAACTATAATTTGAAGGGGGATGATTTTTAATGCAAAATTCACCTTCCCCCCTTTCAAACCTCCAGCCACCACAGCCAATCACTAGAAAATCTTAAATGGGAAAAGGGGTCAAGTGTTAGATCATTTTAGAGGGTTTTAATTCCATACATTTTGTTACTAAATTTTAATCCCTAAGTTCAACTGTTTTGGGAATATTGACAGTTGAAAATTGACTTTTCTGCATCTTTGACAAGCTGTAAAACCTAAACGTTAGAGGAAAACCTTTCTTACATTCTTATCTTAGATTTTTATAAACTATCATTTGATAGCAACTTTGTATTTAATTCATGATCAAAAATTCCGTTTAAACATTTATTCTCCGGTTAAATTCAGAGTTGGTGTCAAATGTTTTCGAAAATCTAGGACAAGAATGTAAAAACGGTTTTTCTTGAAAATTAACCGTTTAGGTTTTACAGCCTTTCAAAGTAGCAAAAAAGTCAATTTTCAACTGTCAATTTTCAACCGTCAATTTTCAACTGTCAATATTTCCGAAACAGTTGAACTTAGGGATTAAAATTTAGTACCAAAATGTATGGAAAATGTATGGAATTGAAAACCCTCCAAAATGATGTATCACTTGACCCTCTCCCCTCCCATTTCTAGTGGGTGGCTCTGGGAGCTGGGGCGTTGAAAGGGGGGAGGTGAATTTTTTGAAATCATCCTCCCTCAAATTATTGTTGTGTTTCAGGAATTTTTTCGAAAATTTTTCAACTTCGAGATAATAGGGATGGGTTTTTAAATGGGTATTAAATATACGTTGGGGATTTATTAAATTATTACCCCTTACCAGTGGCGTAGCCAGTAGGGGGACAGGAGGGCGACGCCCTTCCCCTACACGTATGGCACCCTTACCGCTCTTAAAAAACAATAAAATTATGCTGTTTCTTATTTATTTTATTGACCTCTTCATCCTTTATTCATTATCATAAGTCGGATGGTTCAGTTCAAATTAATCAAAGGAAACATGATAGTTTCTGTTTTGATGATTGATGTGGTTAAAATAAAAGTACCATATAGGTACCGCCGATTTTTTTTGCCACTAATAATTTCTGAAAAAAAAAATTGAAAAACAATTATTATGAATTTCAATGTATTTATTTGTTTATCAAACTAGGAGCTGTCATCCTTCCGGATTTCCACGGATTTGTTCTAATTTTCAAGGCGTCCGGGTGGATTTTTTTAAGTTACGTTATGTCCACACATTACTTTTTTTAATACATAAATGTCTTTTGGAGTGGCACCCCCAAAAAAAAATTGTTTTTGAAGGCTTAAAATAAACTTTTTTGGGCGTGGCACCCGGGGAAATTTTTCGCTTCCGGCAAATAGTACAAAAGCATACGAACATTCATTTGTTTTAAACAATTTGGCATCAGATATGTTAGTGGTTTCTCTGCGGTTTGGTTTGGTTGTATTTCTTTTTGAAAATTATGGCTTGTGTTGGTTGTAACATAGGCAGTGATTGGTTTGTCAATCATTTTGCATGAAATTATGTCAATGTAGGTGTTACGGATATACTAAATATTTAGTTAAGGGTAATCATTTAATAAATCTTCAAAATTATATTTTATATGAACATAATTTTTTTTTAAACGACCCCGCACCAATCTTATGGAAAATGGCTTTCGGTAAAATTGTCTGAAATTTGGATATGTTGTTCTCTTAAACATTCTAAACAAAAATTATCTTTAGCACAAAAAAATCCAATGAGCCATTTTCAAGGTTATGGTAAGTTAAAATTATCTAAGTTGCTACCTAATTGAAATAATACAGTGAGCGCCAAAAAGTTTGCAACAAATGGGAAGATATTTTATTATTGAGATATCAAAAAAATGTTACGTGGCCGTGGGATCAATTCTGCATACCCATCAACAAAAAAATCACTGTTACAGATGTCATGCGACCACCGTCATGGCGGCAAATTTAAAAAGTTTGCCTCAAATATGTTGAAAGTGGGGTTAGACGTTCAGAAATCGAAAAATTGTAGAGAGAAAAGTGGTTCAGGATCCGATTTTACGTCCATGTGTCTATTTTTAAAAAGGTACAAAAAGATTTTTAATAAATATCAATTTTTTGTCCTGTTTTCTGGTAATTTGAAAAATATCGAAAACATCTATGGCAGTACCTTCTTGAAAATCATCATCATCATAGGCATTCACTCACTAACGAGTATTAATCTTGGCAGCATCATTATCTGTGGTTTCTTTGATATCTAAATAAGCCTATATTTGGACCAAAATTTCTCCCACACTGCACACCCAATCAGCGGTAGCTGCCAGCTGGTCGCTGTTGTAAACCAGCTATTGTCAAATCAGCAGGAAATAAGGAGCATTTACATTCACTTCCAACTTCAAGTTAAATTTGACGTTTGATATTTTATCATTTACATTAAGGATTTTTTAGCGAGTAACCGTTTGTAACCGTGTTATCACGAGCTTTAACCGTACGGTTATTACCCTCACCACTGGTGCTCTGTCAAAATTACCCTAACTTAATAAACCATGCGTTCGGTATTTTGATCTGAGTTCTCCGAGCTTGAATTTACCGTTCGTTTATTTAAAAAGTGTACTCGGTGCATGCTCATTCGCGTTCGTTTATTAAAATTTCTGGCACTCTGATACAGTGTTCAACTGCTCTGTTCGCTCGCTGGTCACGTGATTAAAACTCCGTTCAACGCGCTCTGCTCTTTGAGCAAAATACCGAACGCTAGGAAAGGTGGGCTAGACTATCCAAGAAGCTGTCAAACTTAAAATTGAAATGTCCGCCAAGAGGCAAGCCCACAATAAACAAAAAACATATTATGGGGCCTAATTCTTGAAAGTGGTGAAAATATTCACCGGGTGAAATTGCTAAGCTTTCACCAAAAATTTACATAATCATATTCTTGAAAAAAAATGGTGAAAATTTTCACCTTTTATTGGGTGAATAGATTCACCATCAAAAAGGGTGGTGAATATTACAAATTTCGGTGAAAACGTGCATTTCTAATCTTAATTCGGCACTGTGTAATTTGTTTTGTAATTGTTTATTGTCAATAATTATTGACTATTTTGTCAGAGTACTCTGATTTTGTATTTTAATTCCTATTTCCTATAAAATAACGGGCTTGTGAACCTATTGTTAATTGTTATATTATAATGTATGGAAAACGAGCTATTGTTAATGAACCTAATTGAAATTGGAGACATCATAGATGATGCAGCGGTTGGCGAGGGAAATAGAATGAGACATAGAGGAGAAAATCCTTTTGAAAGACAGATTTTTTATTCAAGAAATTATTCAGGTTAACCAAACCTCTTGTTCGCCTTTTTATAGAAATTTAAGATCCTTTTCTAGAAGCTCCAACAAGAGTATCAGCTTTGTAAAGCTTTTTGCACAAGAATCTGAAAATCGTCCTTTTCTCAATTCGTCATCATTCACAACTTCAATTAGATGTTCTTTTTGCTTCGTGTTTGCATGTCCACAATATTTCTTGAACATCTCTTTCAACTGTTGAATTTACACGGCAATATAGCAATAATTTATGCTTAAATTTTTCGAAAACAAATTATTGCTACGGTCGCCGGTCAGTTGACGCGTTGACGGTTGCGGAAAAAAAAAACTCACACAAAAGTAAGGTTAAGAATTGTAGGCGTTTTCAATTTTCCTTAGCAATTTTCCTTCTAAAAAGGCTATATTCCGACGTTGCCAAAGTGTTATTTTATATTCACCACAAGTTAATTCACCCACGACTCAAGAATACAAAACGAGTGAGGCAGGTGAAAATTAGGTGGTGAAATTTTTCACCGGGTGAATATTTTCACCACTTTCAAGAATTGGCCCAATGGCGAGATTATCAATACAATGATCAACACATAAATTGAAATTGAAAACTGTTAAAAATGTACTCTAGGCACCTATCAAATGAAACAATTTCACATATTTTTTTAACCATTAGGAAGTATATTCGCTAGGTCCAAGGGAACAAAGACGGTGTAATTCTCCCCTTCATTGTTTAAAGTTACTTCAGTTAAAATTTCAATATTTTCTGCCATGTTGGTCCCTCGGATCTTCAAGGAATGGATCGGATATTACACGTTCTACCTTACTGAGCGTTTTTTTTTTTTTTTTTTTTCTTTACGTTTAAACTCCAACCAGAAACTCATGTCCACGTTCCGCAATAATATTTTCTAATTTTCAGCTTTGACGTTGGAGTAAGGTAAACAAACCCAAACGCCCATATTTGAATAAAATCGAACTGTCAAATGTTCTATAACCGACAGTAACTCAGAGTCCTACATAGGTTATTGAATTTATTTGTCACTCATTTGTAAAACGTCACTTATCAAGTCAAAACATAAACAACGAAAATTGATTTTTACAAGCTACTGGCTCTACTGACTTGTAAAATTGACAGCTAAACTGTAAAAACTTTTTACAAGTCAGTAGAATTATTTATTTTTAAAAAATCAGTTTTATCACAAGAATAATTGCTTGTAGGTACTTTCTGGTAGACTTTTCTGGTGGTAAACTCTTAGCTGCGACTGTAGCTTTATTAATAATATCATCTAGCACATTCATTTCTGGAAAAAAATTGCAAAAAATGGAAATCTATCAGTAAAGCTATTTTTAACTAGAAACAACGACTTAACAACATCTCATTCTCATAGGTATACCAACTACCAACTTGTATGAGAAAAAATTAAGGAAAAACGTATACATTTCAAAATTTTGTTATGTATTAATTTTTTATTTGTCCCTATATCTTTTACAAATGAGTAACAAATAAATTATTGTACATT